CTCACTGCAGCCTCAACCTCCTGGGCTCAAGCAATTCTCAGCTCCCAAGTAGCTAGGACTATAGGTGTGCACACCACGCCCAGCTAATTTAACTTTTGTAGAGATGGAGTTTCTCCACATTTTCCAGGCTGGTCTTGAACTCCTTCCTGGGCTCAAGTGATTCTCCTGCCTCAGCCTCCCAAAGTGCTGGGATTGCAGGTGGCGAGAGCCACTGTACACAGTGTCTGGTTTGTATCCCGTGTGTTACTTTTATCAGAACAGTTTCGGAGATGAGCAGGCATTTTGGAGGTTTGAGGCCCCACCTCTGCTGCCTTTTGTTTCTTCAGTTTTTCACACTTCGGCAGCAGGAAAATGAAAGGTTGTAACAAAAAATAAGTCTTACGTATCTTGTATATTCCATTAAAAAGTAATTTTCTATATTGGGATTTAAATCATTGGTTAGTGTTTAAAACAAGACAGAGGATTGTATTAGTATAGGCACCACTAAAAAATGACAATCAATAATTTCTGAAATTCAGGGTAAGGGATGATTTTAAGTCATGAAAGGTTTATTTTCAAACAAGAAAAAGAATAATCAGAAAATGCAACGTTGGGGAAGTTCTACAGTGATTATTTTTTTCCTTCAACTGAGACCTCTTTTCTGCTTTACTTCCCCTGATGCCCACATTTCAGACTGTCTGTTCTTTCCTGCGTAACTGTACAATTTAGTCTTCTTTGTGTCACTTGCTAAGTAATTTATGCATTTGTTGGTTCAATTGAGCACACACTGAGCTACTGTTTTACGTAAGGAAATACTGGGATGAATGAGGTGTGGTCTGTCCCCTTCCAAGAGCCTGAAGTTTAGAGAAGCCCCTTTAGAGCCACATAAGCAGATGAAGAAGCAGTGCTGGATGACACTCTAGGTGCTGTCACGTGTGAGTGCAGACGACACAGTGAAATGAGTGGGCACTGCTCCTGGCAGTTTCAGGAGAATTAGATCAGGCTTGAGCAGAGACTTAGAAATGGATCAGTATTCACCAGGTGGAACACGATTCCCTAGCCGGAGGAGTGGCATGAGGAAGGGTCCGGAAAAGCTGTGCATTGAAGGAATTCTGAGTGGACTAGGTGAGCCAGCAAGGCAAGGTGTGTCCCTTTGGAGATGTTGTATGCCACGTCAGGGAGTTATTTTATTTTATTCTTCTAGCTTTTGTTCTAAGTTATGAAATGCTGACCTGATCTCCCATGTATTCAGGTAGAATGTGAAAGCCAGAGTTAAAAAGTAGTGCAGTATTACTAGAGCAGTGACCGGCACCTTTTCCCTGAAATATTTCTAAGCTGTTCTGTGGCCTGTAAGCTGTTCATCTGTTCAGTTTTACCAGCGCCCAGTGGACAGCGTGATTGCAGGTTCAGCCAGCACTAGAGAACTAAATCCTTTTTCATCCCTGTCACTCGTGTGGCAACATGAATACGTTTAACCGTTAGTTAAATATTCTCTGCTGTAGTATGAAATGTAGATAATTATATTCAGTTGCCTCACGGGACTTCTCCTTAATATTTATAGCTGCAAAAAACTTTACAGTCATTTTTATTAATAGTTGCTAGATATGTCATAAGGATTAGTGAACTTAAGATCTGAAATGTTTTGAGCCCCTGAAGTAGGAGGTGACTGCCTGCACAGGTGAGATGCAGAAGAGCAGGAAAGTGAAACAGATGCACTTGGAAATTGCAGCTGTTATGTGTGAAGGACGATGACACAGGACCTCAGTATTCGTGGTCGATATATTTGGTATCCTTAAAAAGGTTGCTGAACTCGTTTCCAAGGTCTGTGCCAAAAGCCCCCCTCATGTGATATTCACACCCATTCTTTTTGTGACCCCTTCCTCCTCTGAATTCTCTGTCTCTCTTTTTTTTTTTTTTTTTTTTTGAAAATGGAGTTTTACTATTGTCGCCCAAGCTGGAGTGTTGCTTGCAATGGTGCTATCTTGGCCCACTGCAATCTCCACCTCCTGGGTTCAAACGATTCTCCTACCTCAGCCTCCTGAGTAGCTAGGATTACAGGTATTGATTGATTTACGACCTATGCAATTTACGACGATTCAACTCTACGACCACAATCGCTAGCCACGACTGCTCTGCGTCTGGCAGCGCAAACGTTGCCCAGCTGGGCGTACGACAGTGCGGGACCAGCTTCTGGCAGCACTACCATCTCTGCAGTGCACCATTGCAACTGTACATGTAGCCTACTCAACTTACAACCAAATCGTGTTAGGGCCGTTTGACGGTCCCGACCGTGGTCGTAAGTCGAGCACTAGCTGTACAGGCACCTGCCATCATGCACAGCTTATTAAAAAAAATTTTTTTTTTTTTAGTAGAAACAGGGTTTCACCATGTTGGCCAGGCTGGTCTTGAGCTCCTGACCTCAGGTGATCCTCCTGCCTTGGCCTCCCAAACTGCTGGGATTACAGGTGGGAGCCACCACGCCCGCTCTCCTCTGTGCTTTTGAGCTTCCACTCCAGTGTCATATTCCTGGATTTTAGTGACTTGCTCACGTGTTCCCCACCAATCAGGTTGCTCATCTGCTGAGAGCAGATCCCCTGGTGCCATACCCCCGTGCTGTAGGACCTGATGCAGTCTCTGTTGAGCTGAATTTTTATACGTGGAGGGTAAGAACCAAGGTGGCAGTCAATCCGGCCCGTAAATCCATGTCAGCAAATATTTATCTACCGGGCTTTTCCAGTCGCACTGCGTTTTGAAGGAAAGTGTAACTTGTTTGCGTGGTCTGTTTCAGAGGGCAGGAATCACGTGATTTTAGAAAAGGTTTCGCGCTGGGCAGTTACCGTCCCATCTTTGGGGTTTTTACGTTTTTTAGGCTTTAAGGGGAATAAACTTGTCCTTAGTGGAAACAGTGGACTCTCAGTCCTGTCCACCGTAGACAAGATGTAGCTGATGAATGCAAGTATTTTGGAATTTGTGAAATGTTTTTTCTGCTTTTGTCATGAAATATACCCTGGAACACCTTCCCATTTGTGGGAACATTAAATACTGTGGGGAGAAAAATGAAGATAGCCCCTGCAGCGAGGACTGCCTGGCAGCACGGGACTCACTCGTGAGCCTCGCTTTCTTCTCTGAGAGGTGGCAGTAGGTGGTGCCACGGGGAGTAGCGGCGGGGACAGAAAGAGCTGAGTGCTGCAAGGAGCGCAGAGGGGACACTGTGCTGCTCAGGAATTGAGGTGGAGGCCAGAGGTCTTGTCCTTCTTGCTGTGTCATGTGCAGTGGCCTCACTGACACCAGGGACCCTCCCTTCCCCAGTCCCATTGGCTGCTCACTTAGTATTGACCGCACCCTGGCGCTGGCTGTCCCTGGCCTCAGACCACCCCAAGACCTCCCCAGTGTTTGCAGGGTAAAGTACACATTCCTTTTGTGCATTTCCTTGGTCCTTCCACCTTTTTTTTTCTTTGACACAAGGACTTGCTTTGTTGCCCAGGCTGAAATATGGTGGTGTGATCACAGCTCACTGCAGCCTCCCACTCCTGGGCTTAAGTGATCCTCCTGCCTCTGCCTGCTGAGTAGCTGGGACTGCAGGTGTGTGCCACCACATCTGGCTCCCACCCCTCCAGGTCTTGAAGCCTGATTGCTGCGCTTCCTCCTGAGTCCTCTCCACGGTGCCTTTTCTGAAATCCTGCCAGCGCCCCCTACCTTCCACAGAGTCAATTTCCTCTTAAACTTTTCTCCCAGAAGCAGCCCCAAGGCACTCGTGGTCACAGCGGTGCCCTTCGGTGAAGTGAGGCTAGTCCATGCCTGTAAACGTGGTGAGCGCCCTGCCGAGCGGGCTGGCTTCTTCCGGGCTCCCCAGTAGAAGGGAGGAGCCCGGGCAGCCCGGCTGTGCGCCTGCCGCTGTGTCCACAAGGCCCGACTCTGTGGAGGCCTCAGGTGCCCAGCACCAGGACAGCTGAGGCTGGGGGAAGGCAGGATAGGTGGAGTCCGCGGCGCTGGGCAGTTTAAGTTCAGTAACAGCAGCAACCAGCTGTGCCTGTGGACCCACAAGGGAGAAGCCCACCCCTCGGCTGTCCTGGCAGAACGGGGACCCTCATGAGAGCCCTGCGCGTGAGGCCAGGCCTGATTCCTGCAGTTGGGAGCTGGGAGGATGGAGGCGGGTGTGGCGTGTTCCCAGCTTCTTCCCAGGATGAAGGCGTCTGCTTAGCTGCTTCTGTGTCCCACAGCCGCCGGACGCTCCGCAGCGACAGAAGGTCGCTCTGGCTCCTTCTCTCACCCGGCCTTCCCTTCTCCTGGCTCTGATGCTTCTCTCTCTCTTTAATGCTGCCTGGCCCAGTGTCCACAAGTAACCAGGTTCTTTCTTGAGGCTCTTACCTCCTCACCCCTGCTCTGTTGCTGGAGTGGTGTTACTGATCTGCCAAATCTTTGGACTTTAAATCTTCTCCTGGTCTGGTTGTGTCCCCGCCCGGTCAGAATCTCTGGTCTTCAGCTGCCGTCTTGCTTTGCTGGGAATTCTGTGGGGCCCCCTTCCTCTCTGAGTAGGGTTAGTTTCTGATGCCCAGGGCCTGCTGCAGACCTGTGCCTGCCGCCGTGGGCTCTGGGTTTGTGCTCCAGCCAGCCTGGCCTCCCTCCTCCCTGCCTGTGACTACGTGCCTTCGTCTCCCAGAGTCAGGCCCTGGTGTGGCTTTCCCCTACTGTTGGATGTCTTTCTAGATCTTTCCTGTCTCATAACGCTTGTCTGTACAGGCCCGCACTCCTTTCTCATGTGCATGTGTGATTGGAGGGAGGGAGCATCGCACACATCAGTGCACCGTGCTGGTGATCTTGGCGTGCGGCCTGTTTCCCTGGCTGGGGGAGGAGCCCCTTGCTGGGTCCCTTGTTCCTTGGAGGGTGTGGAGCCCTGCGCCTGCATCCGGATGGGCCGGTTCCCCTTGGGCAGGTCCTGGCCCTCCAGTCCGTGCAGCGTAAGCCTCTCTGCTACCTCTGTTCCGTGTCTCAGCCCCTGACCTGCACGCTTGCCTCCCCAGCCCGTGCCCCGCATCATGGTGCAGTTGGCCGGCCCAGACGTCGGGGTGACCAGGATGGAGGAGGTGAGTCAGTCAGCCCGTGGGTGGCCACCCCTCCTACAGCGGGTGGTCCTGATGCTGAAACTGTTGAGTCGACACCTGTAGTTTTTGATGTTGGTGTTCCTGCTTTGGTCACTAGGTATAGTATAGGTCGCTGTCTTCTCCTTCTCTGTTTTCCTTGTTACGCTTTTCTGTGTTCAACTTGTTAATCATATGATTGCTAAACTTTTAGGTGCTTGACTGCTAATAGAGTCTGCTGCCTTAATAGCCCACAGCTAGGCAGAGGAGATTGCTATAAACAGAACCGTCTCCTTCTTCTAAATGTTTGCTTAATTCTCAGTTTTACATTTCATTCTGATTCATGATACCAGCGTGAAAAGACGTCGCTAAGCTGGGAGAAAATCACCTCTTATGATCCCCCACAGATCAACAGCACTCTCATCTGATGAACAGCGAATCTGTTTTCTCCCCCTGCGCTTTCATTCTCTTAGGAAATGCTGTATCTTCTTAGGAAAATTTTCTTTATTAAAAGAACAGAAACAGAGGCATAATAATGTGAAAGAATATTCAGACCTCCATGAACGTCCTTCTGTCTGAATGACCCTTTTACTCCAGTGCACACTGGGCGTTCACGAATTTGCTGTGGATGAGATGGGGCTGCCCCTTTCCTGGGAGTGGTGCTGGTCACTTTGCTGAGGCAGGTTGAGTGCCCCTGGGTAGCGGGATGGCCAGAGCAGGCCCCTTGCCGGCGAAGGCAGGAGCTTCTGGAGCTCATCATGGTGTTTTTCAAGCTTTTGCTGAAGTCTCCAGAAATGCCTCTTCCATTGGTAAGGGTATAATCCAGAGATGGCATCTGGGTTTCAACCCACAAGTCACCTCCAGTCGAGGGGGACGCGGCATGGAGTGCCATAACCAGCGGGCCTCCCAGGCTGCGGCCACTGGGCGCTTCCCGCTGTCCTGCGCCCTCCTTGGTTGGCACTCAGCTCTGCCCCCAAATCCTTCCTTTTCGCTTAGCGGGGCCCTGGATCAGGGCTTTTCCTCTGGAGGCCTGCAGCACAATAATGCCACAATCCTTCCTGCCCATCCAAGCCAGTGACTTAGGTGGATGCCGACGGGATGATACCTGCAAATCTGAGTCATGCGGCTGGCCACCTCCTGGGACAGCCTGGCCTGGCCCTCAGCGCCAGGTGCGGAAGTGACAGTGGCTGGCCTCACCTGGGGTGGGGGCAGGTAACAAGCCATTTCGGGACCCTGGTTACTGTTCAGATTTCCGGCTGTCGTGGTTTTGTGCTTTCTTCCCTGCGTGGCCAGTGATATTAAAACTAAAATAGAAGAGAATAAATAAAATGTGTGCAACATGCAAAGGAAAAATGATTGAAGGATTGCCTAATCTTTTAGAGTATTTATGCTAGTGACAATTATTGATATATTGAATTGAGTAAATTTTGCAGCCCAGAGATTCATCACAAAAATGGGCTGTTAATCTCAAGAGGTGCCGTTAATTTCATACCCTGAGAGTGTGGCTTGTGGGGAAAAGAGGGCCCCTGGAAGCAGGAATATAAATGACAGTTCCTGGGAAAAGGCATGATTTATCAAGCTGCTGAGGTAAGCCAAGTAACAGTAAGAGACTTATAGATCTCTGCCTCTTCCCCGTTCAAATAAATCCTGTATTTCAAATGGAAAATGACCATTCCTGTAATATAAATAATTTTTCCGTAAATATCGGAAAACATATTTCTTCTGGATAGCAACCCTCTGCACCCTGCCAGCCTCCTTCCCTGTTCCTGCCTTCTCCTTTTCTCCGGTCATTATGAATAGAAATAGGATCCAGCAGCTGCATCACAGGGCTTTAGTGACAGACGAAAGAGTACCCCAGAAACATCAGAATTTGGGCAAGCGGTGGCTGTTATCCCCCATGAGATTCGGGCGCTGTGTGTGTGTCTGTGTGTCCTCTGCCTGGGTGACTCAGAGTAACTGATGTGCCGCTCTTGGTGGCTTCTCCCTGGGGGCTACTTCCTGGTGTGTCTCCAGGGTCTGAGGTTGCCCAACCCCTGACATGGGACCTGCTTTCTGTAGCAGCCAGAACAGCAGACTCGGAGAGACAGGGCCATGGCCCAAGGGACCATCCTCCCGCTCCTCATCCCTCCCCATTCCCCCCCACCCACCGCCTCGTCCCCCCATTCCCCCCCATCCACCACCTCGTCCCCCTCCATTCCCCCCTCATTTGCTGCCTCGTCCCCCCCATTTCCCCCTCATCTGCCACTTTGTCCCCCTGATTCCTCCCTCATCCAGGCACCTCGTCCCCCTGTCTCCTTGCCCTGGATGCCCAGCCAGGCCACAGGCCCGTGGCTCTTGGTGGTGCCTGTGCTGGCCAGGCTGTGCCGAGCGTGTTCCAGTCCTCCGATGAGATCATTGCTTAGGTTTTGCCGGAGAAAAAAGTGCTCTTCTGGCTTCTTTAGTGACTCATCCTCTTCTCGAGGTCGGGGGTGGGTCAGGGGCTTTGTCTCCATGGGAGGAAAGCTAACTAGCCCTAGCAAGGTTTGGGTGTGCACCTACTGTGTGCCACCCTCTGTGGCAAGGGGCTTTGGTTGTTGTAACACGCTGGCCCTGCATGGCAGGTCCTGGACTCTGTTCTGTATGAAAGGTCAAGAATTGATAAGGCGGGGGCTATGGTTGTGGCTAGTGCTTTTGAGCCAGGGCACCCAGCATGGGGCCTGTGAGGTGCACGATCGCCCCTACACCTTTGTCACTTGTGAAGCGAGGGCCTGGCAGACCTAAGCCTCAGAACCAATGTGGGAACCAGACCTGGGTGGTCCGAGCCGTGCTCTTTATTTTGTAGAGATGGAGTCTCACTGTGTTGCCCAGGCTGTTCTTGGACCCCTGGGCTCAAGCCATCTTCCACCTTGCCCTCTGTAAGCCCTGGGGTTTCAGGCTGAGCCCCTGCACCTGGCTGGCTCTCTTCAGTCAGCTGCTGGTGTGGATGGTGTTGGGAAGTTCTCTGCTCTCAGCCTCTGCTTCCCTCCTGTCCCGCTGCAGGCTCGGCCGGAGACAGGTCCTGACGTGCTGGTGCAGACGATGGGGGCCCCGGCCTTGAAGACTGGCGGCAAGCCCGCCAAAGCGCCTTCCCCGCCACCTGTCCCAGTGGTCACAGCGGCCACCCCGGCCCCCGAAGCGCAGGATGGGCCCCCCAGCCCCCTGAGCGAGGCCTCCAGCGGGTACTTCTCCCACAGCGTCTCCACCGCGACCCTGTCGGACGCCCTGGGCCCCAGCCTGGACGCTGCAGCCCCGCCCGGCCCCACGCCAGCCGCCCCTGAGGCCGAGGCCGAGCCCGAGACGCCCATCCGCCGCCCCCCGCCGCCCACGGCCGCCCCCGCCGAGGAGCCCCCTGGCCCCCAGCAGCTCGCGAGCCCCTGCCAGGAGCGCCCCGACCTGGAGGCCCCGGCGCCCGGCTCCCCATTCCGTGTCCGGAGGGTGCGGGCCTCGGAGCTGCGCTCCTTCTCGCGCATGCTGGGCGGGGATCCCAGCTGCTCCCCGGGGGCCGAGGGGGATGCGCCGGCTCCGGGCACTGGGGGACAGGCTCCGGCGTCCGATTCCGAGGAAGCCGACGGGGTTCCGGAGTGGCTCCGAGAGGGCGAGTTCGTCACCGTGGGCGCCCACAAAACGGGCGTCGTGAGATATGTGGGTCCCGTCGACTTCCAGGAGGGCACGTGGGTCGGCGTGGAGCTGGACCTGCCTTCAGGTGGGTGCCGGGCTCCGGGCTCTAGGGCGGTGCTGGGGGTGGGGGGAAGCAGGAGCGTGGCCGGCCTGGGAGGGGACAGGGTCTAGGTAGGAGAGAGGCCGAGAGGAGCAGCTGGGCCTGCGGGGCAAGGCAGGGGGCAGGGCTGGTCCCTGGAGGCGGCATGGAAGATTCCGGATGATTTTGGCTACGAAGATCCTGCACCCATCCACCCATGGCCGTGGCTGTCCTGGTCCCTTTGCTCCGGTTCCCTGACTCCCCCGCACTCCCTGGGCTCTGCTTTCTTATTTTTCACCTTAAGCATCTGTGCGTTGCTGTTCGAGGAAGCTCTTCCTCATCCCATCCTGACACATCTCGCTGGCATCTGACTCGCCATCATTCGGCAGTTTTGCCAGTTTGCATCCAAAAGAACCATTCTGCCACCACCCAGCTCAGGCCTGGGTCCAGATGGAGAAGGGTGTGTTCCCCCGCGGGTGGCCAGCTCTGCCTTGGTGGTTGGTCTGCACCTGTGCTCCCGCAAGGCACTCCCAGGGCCTGTCACCACCTGCCTGAGGCTGTGGACTGGGGCTGGGCATCCTTGGTCATCACTGCTTGCTGTCCTGGGAGGTGGTCACCTCGTGCCCTGGCCACGTTCACTTAGCCGGTCCCTGCCAGACGATGGCTAGTGTCTGAGTGCCAGCTGTGTAGGGCTGTGCCAGGGGATGGCATGGGGGTTGGCATTGTGGGCACATGGCCTCTGCAGAGGCAAGGGAGGTGCGGGGGCATCTGCAGCTGGCCTGCCCTCCATTTCGCTCTCCCCTTCCCCTGCAGGTAAGAATGACGGCTCCATTGGCGGGAAGCAGTACTTCAGGTGTAACCCTGGCTACGGGCTGCTGGTCAGGCCCAGCCGGGTCCGCAGGGCCACAGGCCCCATGCGGCGGCGCAGCACGGGGCTCCGACTGGGCGCCCCCGAGGCCCGCCGGAGCGCCACCCTCTCGGGCTCTGCCACCAACCTGGCCTCGCTGACAGCCGCCCTGGCCAAGGCCGACAGAAGCCACAAGAACCCTGAGAATCGCAAATCCTGGGCCAGCTGAGCCGCCACCTCAGGGTGAACTCTTCTTGGGGTGCCAGGCCCCTCTGAGTCTGCCGGCAACAGCCTGGGGAACTGGGAGCCCTGTGGCCCCCCCAGAGGCAGGGCAGTGAATGCTTTTTGCACGACGCAGGGCTGGTGACCTCCCTGGGCCTCTGGAAGCTTCGTTTCTTCTCTACCTGGGGCAAGAGGTGGCCTCAGCTGTGCCTCCTCAGGTGAAGGTTCTGGGTGTCTGCAGGGGCTGGGGGATGTGGGGATCGAGGCCCTGGGTGGCACAGCGCCCAGCCATCTCGCTGTGTGCCTGTGCCTGGGGCCTTATGTTGCTCTGTCATTTTCATTCTGGTGGCCCCACTAGTGTCTTAACGTAAACCAGAATTCTAACCAGTGCCTTTCCTTTACCCACCCAGGATGTCCCGGCTCACTCCTCAAGCTCCCCAGCCTCCCACCCTGGTCCCAGCTTCTCCAAGTGCCTCTGGAGGGCCTTGGGCTCTGCCACATGGCCCTGGTGCCCCAGGTGGGGCCGAGGGCCTGAGCCCCCTCCTACCCCTCCTCGGCCAGGGTTTCTTCGCGGTTTCTTGGTGGGTGTCTTGGTGTTTTTACAGCTGCAAAGTCCCTTACGTTTGCCGTTTATTCCCTTCACAGAAGGCTTGGAATGTATTTATTTATATTTATTTTTTCAAAATCCGTAATTATTTGCGAGGCGCAATCGTCATCTGCCTGCGCGTGGGGCCCAGGGCCTGCCTTGCACGTCGCGGCCTCTGGCCGTTGCAGAGCTGCTGGCCTCCTGCCCAGGTGGAGGGTCCTGGGGACGGCGGGGGATGCAGCCCCCTCCTCATGCCCCTCTATTGGGGATCCACAGTGGCCTTACCCTTGGATAAAAGCAAAAACCTGGGAGAATGGTGGTGTGCTTCCGTAGTCGGTGACAAAGGAAGAGGGGTCCCCACTTGATTGGGTGCACTTTTGGTTTCTAGGAAGGTCCTGGGGTCATTTTAATTCCGTGGCAACTCCCGGGCCCTGACAGTGTGGGGCTGGGCCCGTCTATGTGGGGGATGTGCCTGGTTTGTCTCCAGACCCTCGCGGCAGCCCTGTCCCCAGGCCACCGTGCATGGGGTGGGCGGGACAGCCCGGTGGCCCCCGTTTCCTTGCTGGGGCACTTCTGCTCCTGGAGCCTTTGATGCCAGCTTTGTGGGGTGGGGGTCAGCGTCTCTGTGTGGAAGGCAGGGGCAGCTGGTTGAGGGCGTGGCAGAGGTAACAGCCTGACAGCCCCAGACCACCAATCTAGGGACAGGACCCTGGGTCGAGGTTCACACAGCCACTCTTGGCAACTGGTTTCTAGTTCTCACATTTGGACAATTCCTAGAAAGCGCTGGGGAAGGCTCTGGTTCTCTAGGGGCAGGAAGCCTCCAGCAGAGTAGTCTCCACTGGGCTAGGCCTGTCCCAGGCCTGGCTTCGAGGACAAGTGTCCTTCCCTACCCAGTGGCTGTGAGGGACACAAGGGCTGAGGCCGGGCTGGCAGAGGGCACAGCCCCCAGGGGGAGGCACTCATGCTCGGCCTCCTGTCCTCAGCCAGTGTTTCGGGGAACCCCGTGGCGCCTGTCCCTGGATAAGCACTATCACCTCTGCCTCGCTTTTTACTCAGCCCGCTTCCCAGCACAGCGGCTTGCTTTTTAAAACCTGTTTCCCTGAGACGTTTGTTCTTGGGTCCCCTAGTGTCACTGTGGCCTAGGTGAGAGGGCAGCGCCTGGGCCCTCTGGTGGGGACGCTCAGGGAAAAGCGGCAGGTAGGGGGGCGGTGTGTGACCTGGCGCTTCATGGTGGCTGAGCCCATCCACCCAGCAGCGGCCTCCTGTGGCACCTGGGGAACACAAGTGTCCTGACTTGAGCAGATGGACTTGGGCCCCGGCCCTGTTTGCCCTTGCTTCTCGGTGCAGACTAATGTCAGTTTGTGGCTGGGAAAGGCGGATGTGCAGCGACGTGGTCCTAAGGCAGTGAGCCCCGCTGATCCAGGGCCGGTGCTTGGCAGGCAGGAGGTGCGGTCTCGAGGGTGGCGGGTCAGGGTGGCCAGCTCCTGTCTTCTCTTCTTGCCTCCCTGACCAGCAGATTTAACTCCCAGGAATGCCTGCTCGCCTGCCTGCTTTAGGGCTCCCAATGTGTTCCTGGAAGGCTGGGGAGTGGCCCTTTAGTGTGGGTCGGCCCACAGATGCCACCCACGGCTGGTAAGAGCAGTAACTGCACACGCAGCACTGTCAGAGATGGGGACGGGAGATCCTTCCGGGGACCCTGCTTCTCGTCCTGTGCCCAGAACACCCCTGACCCTGCCCTGCCACTTCCCTCGGGCCCTTATGAGTAACTGTGGCTCCAGGGTGAAGGCTCACTTCTGCCCCAGGCACTGCATCCAGCAGCAGAGGGCACAGGGGACAGGTGTATGACTGGGGTCTCCAGTGCCCAGGACCGACCAGAGGGAGCGGGAGGGCGGAGGTGGGGAGGGGAAGGCGTTTCTGGGCGCAATAAGGCGGTCCTTGTGTGTTCGACAAGAGAACAGAGCTAGAGATGTGACTGCTGGAGCCCGAGAGGTGGAGGTGTTCGGATCCCCCCAATACTTCCCAGCATTTTCTCCTCTTGCCTTCATCGTTCCCTGTATGTGAAACAGGAGGTCCTGAGTGTGTGTGTGTGGCAGTGCAGTGCTCACGACACAGGATTCTGGAAGATGGTGCCTTGGCGCTGGGCCTGCCTTGTGCCTGAGCCCCAGCACAGGAGTCACCCTGTGCTTCCTGCCCAAGATACTGACCCACTGAACCCAAAAGCATTTTTCTCTCCGTGAAGTCCGTGGTGCCTTCCTGGTGGGCTGCTGACACTAATGGTGTTGGGGGGTCTTGGAAGAGCTTCTGTATGTGTGGATTCGTGTAAATGTGAGGAGTCCACATATAAAGAAGTGACTTTCATTCCGGGATTATATTGATTTGGTGTACATTAAATGGGAGTTTAATCCAAAGACTGTAATGACTTTTAGAGACTCTAATGATTTGTATTGTGTAATGAACTAAACCACCTGTAATTTTATACCATATATGCCTTTCCATCAAATGACCAACAGCTTCTCAATAAAACCAGATGATTTCTCACCTGCATCATGTCTGCGGCCCGTCTTGTTGCTTCTCCTTCCCCGACCCTGACACAGGGTTTCGGGCCCCTGGCAGGCCTCCCATCACTGTTCTCAGCGAAGGTGGTGGTGGGACTTTTCCAAACAGACTGGGAGGAGGAAGACCGGGGAACAGCAGCACACTGTGCTGGCCCCTGGCCCATGGACTCCAGAGGCTGAGCTGTTCATGCTTTGCACGGAAGAGCCCAGGTGGGCCCCTGGTTCCGAGTCATCTTTCCTTGTTTGGACTTCAGCCCCTTACAGAAGCCAGGAACCATAGGAACTTTCTGGAGCCCTTTGACCCCAGGTAAGTGGTGCTACTGGGAGACCTGGTAAGGACTGTCCCTGGCTCTCAGGCCTGACTCCACTGTCCACTGTAACCTTCGTAATAGTTCCTACACTGGGTCTCCCTTCTCCCCTCAAACTGTGGTGAGAGGACTTCTTTCCCCTCTGCAGAGGTGGGCAGCCTCTGCAGGGGTCTGTAACAAGATGTTTTGGGAGGCGGTGATCATGGTTGTGGGCAGTGGGGCTGCATTCTGCAGCCTCCCACCCAGCTGTGCCCAGCATGGGCCTGGAATGGTACTGAGGATGCCGGGTCCAGCTTTCAAGCCAGGCAATGTGACCTGGCTTCCTTCCGTTCGCCAGTGGATTCCCACTCAGCCACAGGGCTGCAGGGGCGAAGGGGAGTCAGGAGATGTCTGGGCTTTGCGGTGTGCCTGAAGGGTCGGGTGGGCTGTCTCACCAGTGCCAGTGACTCGGGCAGCCAGTGCACATTCCTGCAAGGACGCAGAGGTGCTGGTGGCCCTGTGTAAAGCTGTTTTCTTTCTGTGCCAGTGAATCACTCGGCCCTTGGATATGAAATACACTTAGAAGTGGAGGCCTCAGCCACTCCGAGGGCTGACCAGAGGTGTTCATCTGCCGGCTTGGCCAGGCAGGGTTGGTTTACATTTCCTCAGTGCAGAAGAGTGCTCGGACACAAGCACTGCCAAATAATGACTAAAATTTGGCAGCCAGGAGATGTCCTGCTCTGAGTGAGGGAGGAGTCTGAACACAGAATTGATCTAGTGCCTGGAGTGGATTTTATTTTTCAAGCTGCTACACTCTTGCAACTCAATCAGATGTCTTTTGTTTGCCTAAGGCTGTGGGGTTTTTGGAGTTGCTCAGACTCTGAAACGGACTATAATGGACGTCACACCCAGTTCATTCCTTCCACTCACTGTCACTAACATTCACATACTTGCCCTGTGCCCGTCCTCATGGAGTATACAGAAGCAAGCTGTCCCAATGGGTGCCATGGTAGCGTGGCGCTGATGCCCCCAGGAGGGCCTTGGGGGTTGAGGGAGTTGGCCCTAGAGTGCTTCGAGGGCATGGCGCAGTCAGGAGTGGTCTGGGCTGTGCGGTGCACATGGAGAAAGGTTGGGTGGGCTGTGGGAAGGTTGGCTCATCAGCACTTCTGCTTAAGCAGAAATAGCAATCTGGGGCCAAGAAAGGGCAATATGGGTGGGGACATCCTCAGGGCTGGTCCCTGCCCTCAACCCTTCCCCTGGACCCCTCCCCACCTCCACTTGGCAACAACAGGGTTTGGGGCAGCTTAAAATCCGGCATAATCTTTTCTCATGATACATGTGAAGAAAAGAGGACACATCCTTTGTATCTTAGGTTTTCTGACAAGGGAGAGGCAAGCCTGGGCACATCGTCCTCGAGTCCCACTGAAGAATTTGATGCCAACCACTGGAAGCCTTTAGAGAAAACCAATAATGAAGGCCTGGCTTTATTTACTGTTTTTTATTGCTTAAGGTGCAGATCCAAGAGCTGACAAGAGCTCTTTTAAGACAATGAGCCTCAGGGCGTGGCCTGGAACGGAGAAGCTACATGGACTTCAGCAGCTGATTTAAGTAAGTCGGAGGCCGCACTCCCAGTGTGGGGAGGAGCTGAAAGGATCCTGATGGTCTTAGGGGCGGCCACATCTTCAAGTGATCGTGCAGCTTGAAGATGGGGAGACGGCAGGCCAGGTGGCAGTGTGCCACAGTGAGGGAGGGTAAGGTCTGGGGACTCCCAGGAGGCACATCCTTGCCTAGTGTCACCCAAACATGAGCCCAGCACAGGCTGGAGGGTCCGGGAGTGGGGCAGTAGAGGGGCTTTCCTGGGGTCGGCATTGCCCTTACCCAGGGCGCGTGCAGCAGCTGTGTGAGCCTTCCCAAGTCATTTTAAACACCCAAAGGGACCCATGTTCAAAATGTTCCATCTCTTTGTTCGGGTTGGGTAGTTCCCAAATGATCATTTTGATCCAAAGAAATCCCAGCCAGTCTGTATTCAGTTATACATTTTATTCTCTAATAGGTACAATACTAAAATAAACACAAATTAAAAAAAAGTTTTATTAAAACAAAACTGTACAAAAAAGCAGTATACTACATTTTAATTACAGAACAGTCTACTGTCCAAAAGGCACTAATCCAGAATAGGAGATACAATGATACAGGACTCATTTGAACTATTTTATTCAATACAATGGAGCACTTGTTTCTTTGACCATTTACATCTAGAAACAAGGGCTTTTTGCTACAG